CGGTTCTAAAAATAAGGTTTCTGTTACTGTTTGCAATGTTAGCGAATTGGCTAAATTGGCAAATAGGATGCAGTATATGCTTCTGGTTTCAGCAAAAGGGAGAAATTATCAGTAGACTAATGGGTAGCAAACAAGCTTTCTCGCGTGGGTGCTTTTTTCTGGGTGGTTTCCAGATTCCAGACTAGAGCATAACACTGCTGCTGTCTCATGGGAGGAAAGACTTGGGGGAGCCCAACAGCCAAACTCCTCGTCGAAAGGGCTGCTCCCCTGCTAGGGTGTGGGAATGACCTCCTGGAATAGCCCTTCTTACTCGCCTTGGGGCTTGCGCGGCTGCGGCAGGGCGAGGGTAACTGTGCTGCCCGGTTCTCTCTGAAGGAGCAAGCTCTGCGCTGTGCTGGAGGAGCGTGCCGCGTGTGTTGAAAAGACAGATTGGGAAGTGTGGCCAGGAATGTGATAGAGTGGATATAAACTAAGTGAAGACAAGTGTCCTCATGCTTGCTGTGGTGGTGACGTGCCTTATCTCAGCGTATTATCAGCAAATGGATGTTTGCATTCCCGTGGGTCAGCGCAAGTTGTCACGGTTTAAACTTCCAGTTATTTCTTATGGAAATAACGTCATGGGACAAAGAATGCACAAAAGTCTCCTGCTTCCTTGCGCCTCCAAACATGATGTTAGGATCGTGGTAGTTCTCTAGAGGACTTGAGTTGCAGTATGAAAGTATGTCAATTGGTTTTTCAGTGGTCCTTCACTTCTATTTATAGCAACAAAGTTGATTAAGATGTTTTATTTTCCCCTTGCTTTTCCCACTTGTTGAATCTATTTGCTTGTGAGACTGCTTAGAGTATTTTCGAGGGGAAGACAGATTTTTTTTTTTTGAAAACTTTCAAAAAGGTATGGGTTGCCATGCTGTTCTCAGCAGTAAGGTTTGGAGGCCCAGCATGAAGGCTGGCTGTCTTTTTCTTTCCCTTGGTCTCCTGGAACTGCAAACAGAAGAAGATCTAAACCTGGCACTTTCCATCCAAGCCCACGTATTTGAAGCTAGTTAATTTTGAAAGAGCATTTAGAAGGTTTTGTTATTCCACTGTGAAACAGAAGCAAATAACAGAACTTCAGACTTTCTTGCAAAATGCAGTTAAGCAGTTGCCATTGTTTCCGAAGTGCTGATCAATTATTAGTATCAGTTAAAGGATCCCCAAAGATCCGTTCCTCAAGTCCATAGTAGACAAAAAAAGAGATTGTGTGGCATAGAATCTTGATTCCTATATTTACTGATTTTTGTGTCGGTTCCTGTATATGTGAATATACTGTCTGGTAAAGTAAAACATCCTGGTACATAGCAGTAATTAGTCATAATTTCATACAATTAGTGTAGCAATATCTTGTGGTAGCTATTACGTGTGGCAACGTGTCCCAGGCATCTGTACTTCACAAGCCCATTTTTCTGTCAAATTTGTAATTTTTTTATGAATATATAGTTAGGCCATTGAAGCACGATACATATGCCTTTTGGTCATCCCAGCTTTTTTCAGGTCTTGTACCTGTTGTTTCTGCAAAGACAGTACGTAAAGTAATGAATTTCCAAGGTTATATATTTGCCCTCTAAAATTATTTACGTCACAATTTAATAAATGCTCTAGCGTTCCTTTCTCTCTCTCTTTTTTTTTTTCTTTAACTATATTTTTTCCTATATTATCCTGTAAATACAGCACTCAGGAAAGTGAGGGGGAAGCACCATAGTTTTGAGACCAGCTTGCTTTGGGTAAGATTTTCCATACAGCTCTGTTTGTTAAAGTTTTAACCTTCGGGGCCCATCGTTTTTTTTTTCAGTCTAAGGTATCTTTGAAATCAGAAAGGGTTTATTGTGCCAATTTGTGGGATTTGTTGTTGTGTGAATGAATGGAGAACGTGATGACACCATACATTTATTTTCACTTACAGCCAAAATCAGATATGAACTCTTGTCTGCAGACGTAACTGTTGGGTCTAGGGTGATGATGTTTCCTTGCTTTTTTTAAGAAAGCCTGGTTTGGAGCAAAAAAATGTAGTTAATAATGAGTGTAGCTGGTTAGCAATTTAAGAAAAAAATATATAGTAGAAGCAGCCTAGCAACTCTGCCAAAATTAACTCGTGGTTTTCTAAATCCCTTAAAGTCATAGATTTAGATTTATCAACCTGTAAACCGCTAATGCCACTGCAAGAAATTGTGCATAATGATAGTGTGTCTTTTTATGCACGGTCAGGTGGGCCTTATTTTAGCTTCCTTTGGTTGATTTATGCTAGAGAAGTAACTTCCTAGATTAAATGAACCTAAACAATACAAAGGGCTTTAAACACATTCCCAGATAAAACAAGATTTGAAAAAACTGCAGAGAAATGTGAGCATTTTGCTTACATATTTTTTGTTTAAAAAATTATAGTAATACTCTGCAGCTAGAAAAGGCTCTCAGACTGACATTCAGTAAAACAGGTGTTTGGGTACTCCAATACACTTTTGAGCAT